CAGGGGGAGTGCTGGGTGAGAGCGCGGTTTCAAACTCGGGAAAAAGGGAGGATGTGAATCTGGTTGGCTGGTATATGTCTGGCAGAACGTGCAGCTGGTGCATGGGTTGTTGCTGATGATGATGTTGCTGAGGCATTGGAGGTTGCATTTGGTAGGATATATTAGATGGAGTGGACGCAAACAAATCTTCCAGAGATTGGGGTTGCGAGTACGGGACTGTCGATGCGCTTGGAGGCGGAGGGTCGGGAAGCGGTGATGCATTCATAAAGTACAGGTCGTGCTGTGAGGTTTGGGGAGTCAATCCGCGCTGCTGCTGGGTTTGCTCCATCATGCTGATGGCTGCCGATGTTGGAGACTGAAAGCTGTTCATTGCAGTAGACTCGCCATAGTTTGATGGAGGACCGGTCTAAAAGCACACAAATACATGAGCACTTCTAATATTGATAAACATGAGAATCAACACAAACATACCATTGAAAAGCTCACAGAATTCGTAATCCCATCCTGCGACGCACATTCCGATCCATGCCGCTGCTGCTTTGTCGCTTCCAACGTCGCTTCAGCCGTCACTTTGGCCGTCTCAGCCTGCACAAGAGCAGTCTTTTCCTTGACAATAGCCAATTCCAGCTCTTTGACTTTGCGCTCTTCTTCCAATTTGGAGCTTTCGGCTTCTTTGGCCTTGCGGTGCTCTTGGAGGAGGGAGAGGACTAGTTGCATGGACGACTCTGAGGCTTCGGGTGGGAGCCGGCCCAGGAGCATTTGCAGCATGTCGGCCATAGTGTTCTCTCTCGCCGAAGTCGTCGCCCGCTCTGGTTCTGGCAGTCGGTTGCTTCAAGACCTGGCGGGGACCTTGTCGTCGTGATGCGCTCGGGATGCGCTACAACTGGCACTTTGTTCTTTTTGTCAATGCCTCTGGGCCGCTCAATTGCGGTAGTCAACACCTCAAACAACACTCTTTCGCGTCCTGCTGGGCGTCCCCTGTTTGTAAAGAAAGTGACAGCATCTTTGAGCACAGCCAAAGATAATATGGTACGGCAATCCTTGGAATTTCATCGAGGGACTATGGTCTAGTGGTACGATTCCCGCTTTGGGTGCGGGAGGCCCCGGGTTCGAACCCCGGTAGTCCCCCATATTTTTTGTCGATTTTTGATTTTTGATCTTGACTTTTGGTGATCTTTTTTCGCTTTTGCCCCCCGCGACGACAAAAGTCCTTGCTCAGAGCGCAAACTCAACTGGGTCTTGTATAGTAAAACACGTATGAAATTTGAAGATAATAATATAATGAAATAGAGAGAGACGGAGAGTCCAATAACAGAAGGATTTACGCCTTGGCAATGTCTAGTACAAAGCGGTAGTGGACATCCCCCTTTCGCACACGCTCAACCGCAGCCTGACAATCCCGGAGAGGAACCACCTCAATCTGAGCCTTGATATCCTTTTCGGCCGCAAACGCCAACATTTCTTCAATCTCGGCCCGGCTGCCCACAGAGCTGCCTATGACCTCGACCTGCTTGGTGGTGAGGGAGAAGGGGCTAATGGCGAGGGGTTCTTCAGGCAAGGAAACAATAATCATCTTGCCGCCCACGTCGAGAAGGTTGAGGTACGTGCCCCACTGATCGTTGGGAACATGGCCCGTGCAAAGGATAATGTCGAATGAGGCCTGGGCGGCCTTGACGGCGTCCTCGTTGCCCTTGCCAGTGGCGAGGAACTCGTGGGCACCGAGACGGAGGGCTTCGTCCTTTTTGCGGGGAGAGTGTGAGATGGCGGTGACTTGAGCACCCAGAGCGCGTGCCCATTGCAGACCGAGATGGCCCAGGCCACCGATTCCGAGGACACCGACGCGTTTTCCTGGTCCCGCACCGTGTCGCTTCAGTCTAATGCAATAGATTTAGCACAACTTGATGATCATTACGCGTCGTCTAATGAAAAGAAGTACTCACGGTGCATAAGTCGTAACACCAGCGCACAACAATGGGGCAGCCGATGCACTGTCCAGTTTCTCAGGCAACTTGAAGGTCAGTTTGGACTGAACGCGAACGCGATCGGCATAGCCACCCTGGGAAACCTCGCCATCGGCAAACTTGTTGGCGTAGGTCCATACTTTCTTGTCGCAGCAATTGTCGAAACCGCGGTTACAGTCTTTGCAATCAAAGCAGCCGTAGCAGAGGGCACCGACACCGACGCGATCGCCGACGTTCAGATGCCCGACCTTGGAACCCTTGGCAGCAATCTTGCCGACAATTTCGTGTCCTATAAATAAAAAAGAGAGCCCAAATGTCATTAGAAAGATACTCTAGTAAACGCCCCAAGATCATCAAAATGAAGAAACGTACCGACAATGACGGGGTAGGGAGTTGGGTACCAGCCCGAATCAATGGTGTGGAGATCACTGCCGCAGATTCCGCAGAAATCAATGGTGATTTCGACATCGTCGTCGCCCAGCGGCCGGGGAGTATACTTCCAGGGCTTGAGCTCGCCTGATTTCTCGTGGACGGCATATCCGGAAAACTGCTCTGGCGAAGACATTCTGGCAATGCAGGATATTCCAAAGTAGATGAAAGAATGGGGGGAAATCCGGCACAGTCCTTTCCTTTTTATAGTCTGGACGGCGGAGATGAGAATAAAAAATCTCCCGCAGAATATTTTGAATTAGAAATCGAAGGAGGAGCTCTGTATCACGTCACGACATTCGAAATTTATTTTGGTCAAAAACCTCCATTTGAAACACAGCTAACCCTCAATATTTTTCTTGCAGCGCCATTAATGCTAATAAAAAATCCTCAAAAAAATGGCGGGGGTGAAGCCAATATATGCTCGCAATTTTCCTTTGAATGTACAATAATGAATTTTCCATTTGGCGATACCGGGTCCTAGTGACCTCCACCATTGTACGAACAAAAGAATTGTCGCTGATAAACATAACCAAAAAGTGTTTTATTGTATGGTAGGGCAAATCTACGGTTAGATAACATGTATTTTAAACAATCTAGATGCAAAGATGAAAAAGGAATGGGAGGAAAGGGAAGGAAAAAGTTCGAGAGCTGTCCAGCAGTTATCGTAGGCGATATTAATGATGGATTAAGTTGGGGTTGACTGGTAAATATTTTTAATGAGTAGGTCATAATCTGATTTTGAAGGAAGACATGTACGTGTGTGGTCGAGAGGAGTCTAGTCGTAGGCGGCCACGGGCCGTTGGTCGGGCACATTTCGATTCTGGGATGATGATCGGTTAAACAGGGATGCGAGACTCTGGCTGGGCTTCAAGCGCACAGAAGGAACCAGGGTAAACAGCCGAGTCAGACTTCGAGACCGGCTTCTTCGGTTCCCATCCGTGCTCGCACTGCGTTGTTGCTTGTCAGAGCGGTTGGCTGATCGGGCGCGTCCGCGGTCATTCTCCTCATCTTCAGGGTAGTCAAATGTGCTGGGCTTAGAGAAAAAGCGGCTGACCGAGGATGAGCGCTTGGAGGATTTCTCATAGCGAGAGTTTGGACTGGATTCACGACGGCCGCGCCGGGGCAAAGATCCATGGTCAGACTGCATTTCCGCCGAGTTTGGGCGCAAAAAGGACGAAATGGCGCGGGTAAAAGTGCTGAAACGAGACACTTCGGGGCTTTGCCGGTATTCGTCTTCGTGTTCGTCATACGGGTCATATTGCTCCCGCAGGCCAGACCGGCTGGCGGGGCGGTTGTCATACCGATCGTCCACTTCATAATCGTCCGTTTCCTTGGCAAAGCGAACGACTGAGCGTTTGCGGTGAATGACTGTGTTTTGTCTACGGACATTGGCGGGGGAGCGTCCGCGTTCCACCTGATGAACATCCTCTGCGTCAAAGTAAGCGTCTCGACTAGCAGCAGGGCTGCTGCTGCCCCGATCACTCCCTTCGTAGCCCCACTGATCGCCGCCACCCCACACGCCCGAGCTGGCTATAGAGTCAGTCGTATCTGTGCGATACGGTGCGTTTGGCCTATTTCGTGATTGCGAGCGGTTCCGGGGAAGGGTTGACACCCGAGGTGACACTTTTGTGGCCAGAGACCGTTGCTGAAAACAGGTCGTCAAGGCACTAATCCACACTTTGTAGTCTTTGGAAGATGTGGCTAGGAACTTGTAGTCCTTGTGCTCACAGACGATGCTGAACGAGCAGGGTGCCTGCGAGGCTTGCTCATCCTGGATCTCAGTCACTTGACTCAAGTGAATGTATGTTCGCAAACCCGTTCCCAGAACCAGCAGTGGGGAGTCTATGATCAACACAAATTTTGGGTAAGTCATCCGCTTTTCAAATTGTGTTTTTCTCTCCCACACATACCTGCAATAGCAGCAGCAGCCAAGTGTCCCAATGCCTCTAAATCCTGCATTTTGCGCTCACTCCCATCATCCTCCTCATCATCCAATCCTCGTCCAGAACTCGTCGGTCGGCCTCCCGTTTGCTGCAACTTTTTCTGCTCGTGGTCGGCAATTTGGCGGTTGAGGATACGGGCTACGACCCGCACATCTCGAGTTGATGCTGGCCGGCAGAGGAGGACGTTCCGGCGAGACTTTCCTCCTAATCGTTTCTGGACCACGACGCCTTCGTACAGTGGTCGTCCCGAAGGCAGCGACGAGCACTTTACAGTCATGATCTTTGTTCTTTCGTCTCAAGGGTTGCTTCTTCCGTCCAGAGCAGCAACAGTAGCAAATGTTGTCGCTGTCTTCACCCGTCAGTAGTAAGTTGGGCTATAACTTTCCGTCCGTCTATCAATGTCAATTTGTGCGAGAAAGTTGCAAGACTTGAATCGATATTTGACTTGAGGTCGCGCTCCACGCAAAAATTCACTGCAAATTTCGCAAGGTTCGTCCGCCGTGGACTTTCTGATAGAAATCACCTTCTCTCTTCATCAACAGAAACTTTAAAACCATGCGGTGTTTTGCTGGATACAGGTCCTGCACGAAAAGAAAGGTCGGGAAGTAAAAAAATGTGGTTGGCAATCGCAAAAAAGAGAGTAATAAAAAAAACAAAAAATATGGGGGACTACCGGGGTTCGAACCCGGGGCCTCCCGCACCCAAAGCGGGAATCGTACCACTAGACCATAGTCCCTTGATGAAATTTGAGTTGGGATTTACCTATCTATTCCTGCGCTCACGCTGCGCCATCGTCAGCCCAAGAGCTGAAAGCTGAAAGGACTGTGCTCTCTCTATCAATGCCACCCACAAGCAACATTCATTGGATATACTGGACTTGGACTTGAGACTAAGATTGGTTACCTAGAGGAAGCCTGTACTGTGGACATCGGATCTATCTAAAACTGTCCCGGGCAACTGAGAAAGATCAAGCGAGGAGGGAGATCTTGAACAAGATTGTTTATGCCTACCCGAGCACAGGTGGATAGCACCTGGAGCGCAAAGTTCCCGTCGAAGAGGAGTGGAAAAAGCAGTGGAAGCCTGCGAACGATCGTAAAAGGCACTCAAAATGGATGAGAAGACCCTGATTGGCCTACTGGCCGGGATTTGCGCCGTCCTGGGACTCGCACTCGTTGTCCTGGGCGTAGCCATTACCCGTCGACGCTCCCGAAACCGCTATGCCAAAGGACTTGACCCCGTAGCGGATGCCATCAGCGATGCCAAAGCGGCACGATATATACAGTTGGAGGACGGACGAGGGAGTGTGGATGGATCAGGCCCCGAAAAGACAGGGTGGTTTGGAAGGAAATCGAAAGCTACTACTCCACATGGACAAGGCAAAGATGCCACGCAAATGGGCACTTCAAAAGGCTACTTTGATATTTCATCCGGCAATACTACCCGTGCATCCTTACATCCCGAAAAGGCCCTTCCTCCACCCATCCCAGGGACCACGGCTGTGGCTACTCCGGGCGGACAGCAGGGACACTTGACCGAGCAGCTCTCCAACTTTTTGGAAGACCAGGAAGGTTTACCCAGTTATCATGTGGTAAAGGCCTACGAGCCACGTAAACGGGATGATATGAGGTTGCGGGTGGACGACATGGTGACAATATCAATGGTAGGTCAACAAGGACTAGCATTTTTCACATCCTACCCCCATAAACTTACCCTCCCCGCCCATAGACATTTACCGACGGGTGGTGCCACGGATACAATCACACACAAAAGACTATGGGCATGTTCCCGATCTCGGCTGTTGCCGTGCTAGATCGGAAGAACCGGTCTCAAAAACCCGCCCCCGCACGCTTCAACAGCGGTGAACCGTCTCCACCACCCGACTCGGTCGCACCTTTTGCCCCTCCCCCCTCACGCAATAATACAGAAACAAAACGACCCGAGCAAAAGAAATCTGGCAATGGAGGAGGGAAACTCATCTTTTCCATTGTACCCCCCGAACAAGCGATCGAAATTGTCGCTGAATCCCTGACGGCCGAACGACGCGCCCACTACTTTGAGACCCTTCTCCGCGATGCCAAAAAGAGCAATTCCATAACCTCTACCAGCCCCACGTCACCCCACTCTCCCAACGACTCTACATCCTCCAATCCGCTGGAAGCCCAGCTCCGGGCCTCCATGGAAGGCGCATCCGGCGAAGAATCCCGCGCAAAGCAGGCCTGGCGAAAATTGCGGGTCAACTGGAAGGACGCTGTGCGAGAACAGTTGCAGGACGGGTACTCGGCCTGGCTTGACCGGCGCAACCAATTTGATATTTGGGGATTTATGGCTGATAGTTATCGGTTGGAACCCGGTATGAGTGGAAGTGGATGGGGCATGTCCGAGGCTGATACCATGTCGGAACGGGGCTCGGTGGAGTTTATTCACTCGCCATGATGATGGGGTTGAGGTTATGGACGTGAAACGACTTGTATATTTCTGTATATCCAATTATCTTTTTTGCATATATTCTGTTCTGAGTTCTGTCTTCCATGTGGTCTGTCATAAACTCATTCACCGGAAATGTCCCGACAATACGTGCTGCGCAACTGGGAGAGCATCTGCAAGATTTTCTTGGAATTTCAACTTCATCTCCAGCTCGCTCTTTTGAGGGCTGTATATGTGACGATATTCCTTTAGCAATTTTTTACTTCACATAACAATCTCTGAGAAAGTATGCATTACTATCACCAACGAATTACTGGCTGACAGTTCCTGCCGCCTGTCAAATCGCTGCGCGCGCCGCTCCATCATACATTTTTGAGAAAAGGAAGCAGCCATGTCAAAATGTAGTGGGAGGGAGTATCGTCAGGTCAAGCGCCCCCCCAAAACTCGCGCAGAAGGAATAACCCTTTTTCGCAAAGCCTTTGCCCAACTGTACGCCACAGCTTGTATTGTCTGCGATCAGCACATCATTCAACCCTTCCGCCAGAAACACAGCAGAACCATGTCTCTCATAGCTAGACCCGACCAGAGCATTTTAAGTCATCATTGTTCTGGCTGTGACGGCGTATGCATCCATGCTTCTTGTTATCCGCCCGTTGGCAGCGGTCTGGCAGCCCCTGCTGCCCATATTATTCTTGTCCCCGTCTTTGTTCCTTTTGGACTTTGGATCTTTTGTGCGGCTTGTGTGAAGCAGCTGGGAATAGTACTATAGTACCGGTAGGCCTGCCTTTGGGCAATGTTGTACGCCCACGAGCCCATCGCCGTGATTTGAAGTTGGGTTGCCCTTTGTTGGTATGGTGCCAGTGCGGGGTAGGTTGCAAGTTCTGCTTATTCCCGAATTCTCTTTGCTGCGGGCAATTTACCTACCAAGCAAACAGGGAAGATCTACAATCTAAAGAATAGCACCTCAATGCTTTAACCAAGTACCCGGGCGCGCCGCCAATGATAGTCTAATCAGCATCAAAGTATCCATCTGCATTTACCGGCTCAAAAAAGAGCTGTATGGCTTGGCTTATACGAGAGCGCTTTCTATTTAGTACAATTATAAATGATGGCTGCGCATAAACGCATCGAGTCTTTTCCCTTTGTAAACTAATCATATTCCGGGATATTCCGGGCACAGTTTGACGAGACTTGGATATAATTTTCATCAGCGTATGCTGGGGATCTGACATTACTGTAGAAAAGCGATTAGGCGCCCATTGGCCACCAGAAGTAGGAACTGTATCATATTCTCAAAGACATTTTAGTAGGATACAAGCTAAGAAATAATGTACAAAAAATGGTAGGAAGGAAAGAATAATTCACCTACTTAAAACTAGACTAATATTTGGTCCCACACAATAAAATACGTAAGTTAGTAAATCCTTCCTAGATCTCGCTCCGCCAGACATTTCTGAAAGCCATCCAGTCCGCCCCGCAGCGCAGCCCGCTCAAGCGTATGCAACCACTCTAAAGACAATGGGAGAACCCCCTTTACCCCCGCGGCCAGCAAGCGTATATGTATTGTATCCGCATCATCCAAAATATGTAGCCATCCTTTCGGGTCCAGCGTATACGGCAAAATACTCAAGAAGGGCATTCCATGATCCCCTAAATGCAGATCGTCCAGAATGGACGTGGCCAGTACACGGAATCCTGTGATGTAGTAGCCGATGACGATAAACATGTCCACCGTCTGCCCGTTCAAGCTTTCGCGCAGTAGGAATTTAGCTTGGCCGGCGAGGACTTCGGCGGGAGTATCAGGTCTGACTGGGCGGGACAGGGTGCGGATGAAATCCTTGAGGCGGGGTTGAATGACGTGCTGGTAGTGCAGGAGATGTGTTGCGGCAGAGTTTTGGGCAAAGGCGGCGCGGAATTGGGTCTCCCCACTTCCGCGAGTCGTTATTGCGCATTTGACCTGAAGATGAAGAATGGAGAGTTGATTAACAGATGTTTCCACAATAATACAAAGAAACAAACTTACCTCAACAGTTGCATCTAATGTGTTTGGCTCCCCAGAGATACCAAGATCCGCACGCGTTTTGTTGTTGCCTTTCCCATGAATATTCTTGGCACCCCTGCGCATCAGCGTGAGTAAGGCCCCCCCTGACCCGCACGACTTGCTAAATACTCACAGTTCCCATGCAGTCTTGCATCCCATTGAGCTGAATAAGATGTCAACCGCAGCCTGGTACCTCTTCTCCTTATCTAATGGCATTGACTTCAACAGTATAGTGACCAGCGACTTCATGACGGTAGCAAATTCTGCTACGGGCATTTGCTGAATTCCGTGATTGCTCACACCCACTGCGTTGAACGCTAGGGAGGGAATGTCGACGGCACGCATGGCTGGTGGCGGATGAATGATTCTTGAAGTTTTGCTGGGTTTGTTGTTGAGCCAAGAGGTTTCGGGAAGGGTTTTAGATTGCGGTAGCAGCGCAAGTGATGGGTTGTGAGCGTGACGTGTAGTTGGTTTTTGTCCTGGCTGGGTCAACGCTGTCGCGCTACGGTAACAAAGAACATGCAAATCAGTTCTACGGTTACGTGTGAAAAAACTCCAAAAAGTAATGTTATAAACTCACGTTTTGGCGTCAGAGTCGAGAACCCCTACGACATGCCGGTCAGGATCAATGAGACGGACCCAATTTTTATGGTCCGACGGTCTAACGTGATAATCGGGAAAATCAGGATGGACCGCGTGAGACCATCTAACAAAAGTTACACTGATTAGACCCGAAAGTTATAAACCCGGAACCCAAACATAAAATACTTACATCTTGTTCTGTTTGCTTGTAGATAATAGGTCAGGTGTAAGGGTACGTGAGGCATAGCTTCTAGCACACAAATTCCCGACAAGCAATGGACGAACAATCTTGACAAGCCCAGGCCTCACAACCGCTCGCGTCAAACTCATGCTGCTGATGTGTTATATGTGGCCGGAGAAATCCCAATAAAATGTCGAGGCCCTCCTTCCCTCCCCCAACATTTTCTTTATACTCCCTCCCATTACATTTTGACGTTGCTGCTTCTTTTCCTCAAAGAAGTATGAGGGAGCGCGCGCGCAGCGATTTGACAGGTAGCAGAAATGTCAAAACGCTGAACGTAAACAAACCGATGAGGGTCTGCTAAGAACGAGTGTTTTTCGAACATAGATCTGTGCTTTGGAGGTAACATAAGTGAAATTTTTCTAATGATTCCGCTGCAAAATCACAGTCAAGATGTACAGCTAGAACGCTAGTGGAGAGTCTTCTCCCCCCATTTTTCAATCAAATT